TAGTTTTATTTCATTAGCTGCAGGATGTGTGTTAACCCTCTGGAATCACATTTGAAAGGGATGTTTTCTTTTTTTTAAAATGTCCATATTACAACATTAACTGTAAAAACAGAACAAATCACTCAACTTTCAGACGGTCCTTGAGCTGGAAGACAATTAAAAACCCCAAAATAAAACATTTTAATCATAATTAAGGTGATAAATGCATCAAAAACATCTCAAACCAGTTGGATAAAGTGCTCACAGCTCCAATAAAACCCACTCTGACTCGTTGTGACGCCTTTACATCTTCGTGGATTCTCATTTTCTGCCTCCGTCGTTGTGCTTCCAGGTACCGGCAGCGGCTCGCTGTCCCACGCCATCCTGCGCACCATCGCGCCCACCGGCCACCTGCACACAGTGGAGTTCCACCAGCAGCGGGCCGAGAAGGTCCAGGAGGAGTTCACGGAGCACCGGGTGGCCCACCTGGTCACCGTCCGGAACCAGGACGTCTGCAAGGATGGCTTCGGGGTGAGCGGGGTGGCCGACGCCGTCTTTCTGGACATCCCGAGTCCCTGGGAGGCAGTGGGCCACGCCAGGGCTGCCATGAAGAGGCAAGGTAAGACCCACGGGCTGGACTGGAGAGGAAAGGTTAAAGTTAAAAGTCTTTAGCTGTGAATGTATTCACAAGTTTTCTCTGTTTTGTTCATGTACAGTTAATAAGTAGTAAAATCACAAAAAGAACGTATTAGTTTACATGTTAATGCCAAAAAAAAACCAGACCAAAAATATAAATAACATCCACATTAATTATCTGTATTTTCAGAAATTGTCATTTTACAACATTTGACTGCAAAACTGCCCTGTTGGTGCTGCATTTAAATCAGTAGAAAATATGGCTGTTTTACAAATATTTGCTGCTTTTTGAAAGAAAAAAAATCTGTATTAGGGATTTTAAAAATGGTAAATCTTTATTAAACCCTCCATTTTTTGAACAGATTTTCCCTGTTTTGTTAATTTACATCTAGTAAGTAGTAAATCAAAGAAAGTATTAATTTACATGTTAACGCTAAAAAACAAATTGGCCCAAAATTCTAAATAACATCCACATTAATAATGTGTATATACTGCATTTAAATCAGTAAAAAAAATGTAATATATAAAACATTTTGAAAGAAGAAATTGTGTATTATAGATTTTAAAAAAGCGGTAAATCTTGAGTAAACTCTTATTTTACAGATTCCCCTGTTTTGTATGAATTTACATGTTTTACACGAGGTTTTTGGAAAAAACTACAGTGGAATTCAGGAAAAATTTAAATTTTTGCTTTAAATAAGCAGAGAAGCATATAGGAACTATTTAAATAAACAGAAATAATAGGAACAGAAATAGAAATAAATGGGAAATAAATAATTAGAATAAAAGAATCAAAAATAGGGATCCTCAGCACCTAAAGTGTAGAGAAAGCTGTTTCTAAAGTCTCACGAGACTTGTTATTTTGCTGTTTATCAATTCCTTTTGTGGTCAGCCCACATATCTTAAGAATTTGTCACAACAACATGTTTAGTTTCAGTCTGTTGATAATGATCTTATACAGAGCAGCAGAAATGAAGGTTTGGAGCTTTATTCCAAATAGTATGTCGTTAGTTTCATGCCGACTGCCTGTAAATATGCGTGTAAGTGAGTTTTACGTGGAGACAGAATGTTCTGCTTAATGCAGGAAAAACAGGCTGAATGAGGATCCTGTCAGCGATATTTAAAGACGCGCTCTTGGCGTGTAAATGTGGCCTCAGACGAACAATCACCACCTCCTGACCATGACTCGTCCTGCAGCACATTTTAAAATACCAGCCTGTGGATTCACCCTCCGTCAGCTCAGCTCGCTGCAACGCCGTCGGTTTGTTGTCCTGGGAGCTGAATGTAAACGGCAGCGTGTCCGGACACGTCGGCCGTTTGCTGAGGTGGTCGGTTGTGTTTGCAGAGATCATAGCAACTTAATCTTTAGCCTTTAGTTTTAAACAAGTTGGATGCATTCACCGAGAACCACTGGAACGGTAAAGGAACCAAGTCGTGAACAACAGTTTCCATCCATTTGTAAACACCATGTATATCAGACAGTCTTAAGTTTCCAGTGACTCCTAGAACTCTGAATTTTCTGTCATGGAATCACTGAAACACATGAATATTTGTCACAAACAATCCTACATTTTGGTTCTTTCATAGATTAATTAAAGGTCTTCTGGAAACATCACAAAATCTGTTGGGTCAAAAGTCTGCATGCTGTGATTCTAATGTCTGGTTCAACGTCTTGTGACTATTTCCACCTCAGTCGGATTCTTCTGGGTTCTGTCCACCAGCTTCTGGTTCATCTTTGACTCCTTTGGACAGAATCGCTGCAGTTCAACTAAACTTGTCGTCTTTCTGACTCAGACTTGTTTCATCATCAGTCCACAGGTTCTGGACGGTTTCAGTCAGGACTTTGGGGAGACCAGTCTAGAACCTTCATTCCAGCCTGATGGAACCATTTCTTCACCACTTTTGATGCATGTTTGTCTTGTTGGAACATCCAACTGTGTCCAAGATCAATCTTCTGATGATGGTTTCAGGTTTTCCTGAAGAATGCCCCAGAGCATGACGCTGCCACCTCCATGCTTGATGGTAGGTTTGGTGTTCTTGGGGTTAAAGGCCTCATCTTCTCTCCTCCAGACATGGTTCTGCTCAGTGTTTGTTCCATCTGACCACAGAACTGTCCTCCAGAAGGCCTTTTCTTTGTCCATGTGATCAGACTTCAGTGGAGCTTTAAGGTTCTGCTGCTGGAGGAAGAACTTCCTTCTTCATCACCTCTCAGCTCATGTTGATGTATGACAGCTGTGCAGCTCATTGCAGAAAATTCAAAGCTGTAGGAGTTACTGGAAACTCGGTTCTGCCATGATTGACACGGTTTTATGAGCTTCATGAGTGTATTTAGCATCCAGTGAACTAACAGACACTTCGACTGATCAACAGACAACAGTTTCTGTGGTTTTGCCTTTTCTGGCGGTGCATCTTCCAGAATAGCTTGTGTCTTTTCTCGTCAGGTGTTGTTGCGTTGTGCTGTGGTCGACTGAAACTCTGCTCAGTGTCTGAAGCAGCTTTTTGTTTTGTCACGGTGTCGAGCGCTCTCATACTTTAAAAGCCTGCAGCCGTCGTTTTGTCTGACAGCAGCTCTGAGTGCAGCCAACCACGGATGTTGTTCACGCTGAAGACGTGTTTCCAGCGCTTTACAAAATGGACGGCCACTTCGTAAAAGCAAAATTTATATAAAAAGAGAAACTAGTAGCCTGACAAAACTTTCAGAGAATTTTTGTAAGGGAAAGAATACAAGATAAATGTAAAAAAATAAACTAAAAACAAATGAACCTTTGAATCCCAAAACCCTCCAGCACGTTTGAAAGACATGTTTTTTGTTTTGTTTTGTTTTTTAAATCGCCAAAATCATACCATTTATCAGAACCTGAAGCTGTTAAAACAGACAAAATCTTCAGGTTTTTCACTTTCCAACGGTCCCTGAACTACTCATCTGTGGCGTACATTTCTGTCAAAAAAATTAACCAGATTTAAACTTAAAATCATCATAATTCATCAAAATGATTTCATTCTACATGTCTATTTTTCTCGAAAAAATTGCCAAAAATAAATACGAATAATTAAAGAAAATAGATAAACCATTCGCTTTAACCCAAATCTATTAAAAATAAAAAATTCTGCAATCTGTAACACAACTGGGAAGCTAACAGTGATTGAGCTGCATCTAACAGTCTCATCACAAAAATTCAGAGATGTTAAGCTGAAGTGCAGTTTACACAGTGCAGAGATATACGTGGGAATAGGCTAAAAATAGAAATGTTAACCTACCTACTGCATGTGGAGCCACCATTTTCCCAGTTTTGGTGACACCTGTGGGCACTTGAAAAAATGATGCAGTAAAAAAAAATTAATTAGGAGAAATTAAACTTTTTTTTCCCTTATTTTCTGATTTATGGCCTTATGACTGTGTCACACTGCACTGAAGACTTTTGCGTTCTCTCTGCTTCTGTTCGTGGTCGTTATGTTTCCATCGAGGTGCAGGATTTTATACGCTGGTGTAAATGAGTTCACAGTAAATAAAAATGTGACAGGAGCACTAAAACGCCCATAAAGTGCTTGGAGTTCAGAGTTAAAACATCAATTTTGCCGCATTTTTAGTGGAGCTGCAAAAAAACACGAAACTGCTACATCCTGGGTTTACGTTAATGAAAAAGGTGTCTGACAATCTGCTCATGTGTGGCCATTTCTGCAAACCTGAGCACCTTAAACGTAGTGTTTTAGTGTTGTGCTGGAGGAGAGGTGACCACTGCAGTGTTTCTATTCAGGTTGATTTATCCAACATGCACAGGATTCGTGGTTTATGAGCCCTGAAGCCAGATTGCATGCTAATGTTCCTGCAGCACAATATTAAGCAGTAAGCCCCAATATGAAGAGGAATGCAGGAGGAGCGAGGATGCTGCCCCGCGACTCCCATTTATGGTGCCACTGCGACATTTTCCCTCCACGAGACCCTCGAACACACACACAGATCCAGATAAATAGAGTGCAGCCCGCTCCCTGCTGCACAGCGCTCCCATGACCATACAGGGTTATGCTGCCGCCGCTGCAGGCGCAGAGCTGCTCCACCAGGAACGTCTGCTTTACTTCCCACCGCTCAGGCTGGATGTTTCCTCCAGAGCAGCGCTTCCCCAAAGTGCTTCAACCGCACAGCAAAAGATGTTAAAAAGTCCACCTGGAGAGAAGCCGGGGGGTCACGTGCTTCATGGTGGGAGGCTCAGACTGGCCCGTGGAGCATAAAACTCAGACTTTTAGCTGCAATAAATGTTTTGGGGGGTTTTTCTGCAGAAACTGGCAGTTTTCCCACTCTGAGCTCCACATGGAGTGATGATCTAAAACCAGGAAGCTACACGAGAAGGTTGCACTCTCTGAAGATCGTGAATAAACGGCCGTAAATCAGCTCAGAGATCACGGTTAAAAGGCGCTCATTTGAGCTGCAGAACTTCCTTGAGAATCATCCCATTTTTAGGTTTGCTTCAGCGTCAAAGTGATTGACTGCTCCCTGTCTGAACATCCACGTGTGCTTTTCAAAGAGGAGCTACTGGCCGCTAATTCAGCTAGCTTTGCATTTTAACGGTGCCAAAATGTAAGCCAACAATATCCATGTCAACGTTGTACCTCCCCTAAAGCAAATGAAAGAAAAAAATTTAATGTTTTTTGCACAGATAATGTTTATTTCCAGCGTTACAGAGGAACAAACACTGCTGAGAGCTGGTTTTCTAAGAGTCAGTGAAATATGTCGCTGTTTTCTCCCCCTCCGAGTTGTAATTCATTGAGATCATGGAAAAAAGGCACTCATTTGAGCTGCAGAACTTGCTTGAGAATCGTCATGTTTTTAGGTTTGCTTCAGCGTCAAACTAATTGACTGCTCCCTGTCTGAACATCCACACGTGCTTTTCAAAGAGGAGCTACTAGCAGCTAATTCAGCTAACTTTGCATTTTAACAGTGCCAAAATGTAAGCCAAAAATATCCATGCTAACGTTGTATCTCTGTTTACATCCCCTAAAGCAAAAGAAAGAAACAAATAAGTGAAAATAGCAATGTTTTTTGCACAGTTAATGTTCATTCCCAGCGTTACAGAGGAACAAACACTGCTGAGAGCTGGTTTTCTGCGGTGGACACAGAGTAAGACGCGAGGCAGTGAAATATATCGCTGCTTTTTCCCCTCTGAGTTGTAATTCACTAAGATCGTGGAAAAAAGGCGCTCGTTTGACCTCCAGAGCTTGCTGGAGAGTCGTCACGTTTTTAGGTTTTCTATAGCGTCAGACTAATTGACTGCACTTTGAACATTCATGTGTAAAAGAGGAACTAGTAGCAGCTAACTTTCCAACTTTATCCTCCTGTTTGCGTCCCCCACAGCAGAAAGAAAGAAAGAAATGACTCAAACGAAGGAGTGTTTGTTGCACAATAAAGGCTGGAAGTTGTTCCCAGGCTTTAGAGAACACTGCTGAGAGCTGTTTTTCTACAGTGGACACAGTATAGGACGAGGGCCAGTGAAATATTTCTGCTTTTTTTTTTTCCTCCAAGTTGTAATTCTCCTCGTGTTTTGGCCTGCAGCCCGGCGCTCTGCTGAGCTGGACCATGAATCCTGACAAAGCCTCCACTCCCCTCACGGACTAATGGCCGATATTACGCAAGCATAAAGCAAACATGAACGCCGTGAAGTTTATGATGAGGAATCGCGGTTTCGTGCACACTTAGCCGCTGGTTGTTGAAGGTTCGGCTGATGTTGGAGGCTGTTAACAACCGCTAGAGACGCCTTTGTGTAATCATCAACCCGAGCCGATCCTGTGTGTTGCTGCTAGGCGACCGCTGGGTTGTGTTTATGGCCGTCTCGAGGGGGAACTCTGGTCCTGTTGGCCGAAGGAACGGCTGCTATCTGAAACCTCCCCGTAACGTTCATCAGACACCGTGGAGGCTTCAGCCCTCCGTCCAGACACATCTGGATTCCTAAACGGGATAAAGTGAAACATCAAACCCCAAGAAAATGTAAAGATATCCCGCTATGCTGTTCTAGGTGTCAGCAGCAAAAGACCTCCTCTGCAGCAGTTAGATGCCAGCTGATGGACACAGTGATGAAGCTTTTAGCAGCTAATTATCAACATATTGAAATGAGGAGGTGGAGGAGACCAAAAACAGAGCAAAAAGAGTGCAAATACCGAACCAGGGGGAGGAATCTGATCAGATATTTACCGCTAGATATGGAAATAAATTTTAACATCCTCACTTATGATTCATCCACCACACTTATTTCTGTCCTCCCTCTTCTTTACATCACACGTTGTGAAACCCAGTTTGTTTCGTTAAGCCGGAGCCTCTCCAGCTGCAGCCACATTCCTGAGTCTTCAGGTCACCCGGTGAAAGTTTTCTTGGCCCGTGGCCTCGACCTCCTGCCGCAATCACCGCGGGGTTTCATTTGTAGGCGAGAGGCCGACGGCGGCAGGTGATCTCTGGTCGCCACAATCCAATTATTAATAGAAGCTGTGGCGTCGTGGATCTCCCTCCAGTGGGATAGAATGTCCACTCTATCTGAGGAGTCGGGTTTTTGATTGTTTATCTTTGTTCATGCTGGATGTTTTGAAGCCGACCTAGGCTGGGTTTGAAGTGTGATCGTGGAGGGATGTTTGTCTGAGTTTACTGAACCCTGAAGAATGAGGCTGAACAAAGATCTGGGATTAAGATCTCAACTGATCTCATCACTGGGAGTTAGCGACACCTCGTATTGTCTCATCCCATTTAGTTCATTCTAAGGTTTTCAACAGCAGAGATTTTTAGGTGAATGCGGCTGATTAGCTGACCTTTACCTGGTGGTTTATGGTCAGTTTTTGACAACAGTACTTGTCGACTGTCCACTAAACGGTGTGAATATGATCCATTTTTAACAACAATCAGAGCATCCAGAAACACAGCGGCCTATTCACTGTGCAATAACAGCAGTTTATCAAACCACTGGCGCATGTTTCTCACTGTGTAATATACATTTTTGTATGTGAGCGATTGTTTTTGCAGATCCAAGTTCGTTTACTGAGAGTAAAGGTTTTCTATTTCTAGATAAATGTCGGACACGCAGCACGAAGCTCCGACAGAACGAACCGACACAAATCACACAGTCTGACAGATTTGTGGTCGTTGTTCAGAAAGACAGATGTTAGAATACTACTTTTCAGATTATAGCTGAGTTTTATGCTGGAGCTAAAAATGCGTCAGTCTGACTTTGCCTCGCAGGAAGTTTGATATGTGAGGACGTTAACTGGCTTCAGGCTTTAATTTGCTGAAACGTGGATCAAATTTCTTCCAGAAAAACTTCATAAAAAATCATACAGACCTGAATCCTCCTAAACTTGATGGGATTTTAACTTAAAAAACCCAAAATTTTTAGAAAGAACATTAATTGCACCATTTATCAGAGCCAGAAACCGTAAAAACAGAAAGAACCATCCGTTTTTGTTTTTTTTTTTTATTTCTAACATTCCGATATTTTTTTCTCAGTTTTTTTTTAAATATCGCATTTTGTTTGATGATTGATCTACTTTGTAAACATGAGCAGACGAATAACAGGTGTACAATCTGAATATCTACTAATGAAGGAACCGAGATATTATCTGGTTTATTTTTCTTTTTTTATCTCTACTGATAATTCTTAAACATTTTCACTTTCCCTTTTGCCAGTTTCCCCACTGTGGGATCAACAGAGGCTTGTTGTGTCGTAGTGTGTTGTTGTGTTAGCTAAAGTCAGCTGAGTTTTCTTCTTTAACCTGCTAGATCTCCATGGTAACTGATGCTGTGGAGCCAGATCTCCATGGTAACTGATGCTGTGGAGCCAGATCTCCATGGTAACTGATGCTGTGGAGCCAGATCTCCACGGTAACTGATGCTGTGGAGCTAACCTGGTCGGGAGCAGGTTATGTTCAGAGTTTCGTATTTAAATCGGCTGAAAGGAGCGTCTCCCTTTAACCAGATGGTTTCCTGATGATTCTTTATGAGCGATCCAGATTCTCAGCTGAGGGAATGTGTTTTATCTGCTAACATGCTGATTTGTGCGTCACTAATATCACTGAATGAAGCTGTGCAGTTACAGCATCACACACTGTGTTGTTTACTCTTGTTTTGCATTGTGTTTACTCTTATTTTGTGTCGTTTACTCTTGTTTTTGTGTTGTTTACTCTTCTTTTGTGTTGTTTACTCTTCTTTTGTGTTGTTTACTCTTGTGTCTTGCGTTGTGTCTCCAGCAGGCGGCCGGCTCTGCTCCTTCTCTCCCTGCATCGAGCAGGTCCAGAGAACCTGCCAGGCTCTGGTGGATCAGGGCTTCGAGGAGATCAGCACCCTGGAGGTCCTGCTCAGGGTCCACGACGTCCGGACCGTCTCCCTGCCGCTGCCGGACTTCGGACCCGACTCTCGGACCGAGACGTCTCCGAACCACGCAGCCATCAGCCTGAAGACCACGACGGCGCCCAGAGAGATGCCGGGTCACACAGGATACCTGACCTTCGCCACCAAACCCAGAACCTAAAGCCGAGCGGTTTTCCCTCTGACAGGGTTCATAATCCACCGTTATGAGACTGATAATCCAGCGGTGGTACCAGCTTCCTCCAGGACCCGGCTGGCACTGCAGCGCCAAGAGGATTTACACTTCCCTGTTACATAACTCAGTTTTATGTCGCTCGGTTTCGCTGCTTGCATCAAGCACTGAGAAGATTAGAACTTTTGGATCCTAACTTGATTATTTGCCTCCTTTTTTTTTTTTATATATATATGAAAGTCATTTTTAATCTTCGCTTTCATTTGTTGGGGGGAAGAAATAGAGGAGGGTTTTTTTTAACTTTTTTTTTTTCCTATTTTGCACATTTGTATTCAAGTAAAAAAAAACAATAAATGTGTGAAAAGATTCTTGTTTTTGTGTTGAACTGCTGCATCTCCAGACAGAAGGAGGCTTTAAAGACCTTTACAAGTCTGACCTTTTGAAAAAAACTAAAACCTGATAAATCTGCCCAAACTCAGAGTCTGCCAGAGCACAACAGTGGAAACGACACTTTTATCCCTAAATAAGTTAAATTATGGAGGCATTCGTTAACTTGAGCTGTTGGAATTTGAAGGTTTTCTTCTTGAGGTTCTTTCAAATCGTAGTTTGACCACAAAAAAAAGTAACTGAGCCTCGACTGACTGATGTTGTTTCTCTGCTCTTTAAGCAAACGCAGACGAGATGTGCCGGGGATTAAATCATACCAGCGGCTAAAATAAGCAGATCCGTTTGTACGTGACAGCCGAGTCCACAGAGGAAGACTGATGTGGCTGAAGGCTCTGGAACAGGCCAGTAAGTGGACATGAAGGATGAACTTTGATGGTTACAGTCTTTATGTCTTTATATGTAGCAGCTAAAAGCTTCATAAAGTAGAAATAAGAAGCACATTCTTACAAATATCTCATTAAAAATTCAATAAAAGTGAGATTTGTAAAGGGGACTTCACTGTCTGAACCCAAAACCAGTTGGTGGGTTTGAAAGTCAGGTTTTCTTTTTTTGAAATTGCCAAAATTACAGCATTCATCAGAGCCAGAATCTGCAAAAACAGAAGATGTGGGATGTGCAGCTCTCCAGGATGAACCAAATTCAAGCTTGAAATCTTGATATTTGATCAAAATAATCTTTTTGCATTTAAAAAATTGCAAAAAAAAAAATAGCGTTTACTTGAACCACATTCTGTAAAAGTCTAAAAATTCTGCGTTCCTTTGCACGTCCATGAAGCCGTTGGTGACTCTGCTGCGACCAGCAGTCACATGACAAAAATTCAGTGACTTTTTGGCTGAACCGCAGGTTGTGTGTTCACTGAATTGTCGTGCTAACTTTACCCTTTCATTGTAGAGATTCAAACAAAGAAGGATTTGCATAAAAACACCGTATATTAGAGCAAAAAAGTGTCATGTTCCTGCAGCTTTCAAGAAAAAAAAAGCCAGATTTTTCGATAAACTTTTATGTGATTTTCAGTCCGACTTAAAGGAAACACAAAAATTAGCCACCTAGCGGGAGCGTTTTGCCTCCAAGTGTGGAAACAAGTTGTTAATGTAAGTAGTAAAATATCTGTAATACGTGGAGTCACCGTTTCCTCCACCTGTGAGCGCTCGGAAAAAGATTTCATGTGGTAAATCCAACTTTTTAAAACTTTTTGTATCTGAATAGTTAAAGAAATTTAGCTTTCTTTCTTTAGTTTTTTTTATGATTTATGGTGTTGCAGCTTTGTCGTACTGCACAGAAGACATTTGTGAGTTCCCTCTTCGTCTAGTCCTGGTTGTTCGGTTTCCACAGAGGGACAGGACTTTATGTTGCAGTGAAAAATGAGCCCACAGTGGCAATAAACGCTCAGAAACTGGTTTAAATGAAAGACTATTTATAGTTTTCATTTCCTCTTTCGTAAACCTCCCACTGAGCTCCATGTGTCTTTGTTAGGCACCTTAATAGAACAAACAGGTTTAGAAAATAGTCTCACGTCGTGCAAATGAGGTACAAAATTCAAATTAGCAGGAAAAAACATGAGCTGCAGAGAGAATTCAACGTCTGTAACTTGCAGCTAAAAGTCTGTTGACACCGAAAAGATAAATAAAAATGGCCGACACATGGGCTGCAGAGCTTCACTTTTCGTCTCTGATCTGATTGATTTCAGCGTCACAAACGTCCGCCGATGCTTCCCCTCTTTGAGAAAACAGATCCGGAGCCGGAAAACCATTACTGCTGCGTTTAGACTGGACTCTGGGTGGCTTCATTCGTCACATCAGGGCCGAGTCTCTCTGTTTCCTGTGAAATGCGACGTTTTATTTTCGTCCCCCTGTGAGCAGCTTTTAATCATATCTCTCGTGAGAAAGGCCTCGTGAGGTGTGTTTCAGAGGCGGCACGTGCTGGTTAGCGGTGTAATCCCGGGCTTACCGAGGGTTATAAAAAGCACCGCGGCTGCTTTTTACTCTGCTGCTGCTGCGACAGGTGAAGAGTCACCGTTTCCAGCAGCGTCACGTCCAACAGCCGAACCTTAAAGAGGCGACTGTTGAGCCAACTGTGGAGGCTGGATGATCTCTGAGAAATGAGCTCGTTGTGGGGTTCTCCCATCAGCAGGGAGTCAGTGGGTGGAGGAGGCGTCTCCCTGTGGGGGAGGAGGGCCACGCCGGCCGAGTCATTCACTCACATTCGATGGAGTTTGGACACAAGTGTCGGCTGTGAATGAGGTCAAGCCGGCTTAAGAGCTGCAGCCGCTGTTTACTGCAGCGTTCGCTCATCTTCACTCTGTTTTCTGTCTTTATCCAGCGCCTGATTTATGCATTTATACGCTGGAGAAGTTTACTTATGCTGCAGTAATCTGTGTTTTTATTATAAGCGGCAGATTAAATGTTGGATGTTTTGCAGCTTGTTGCTCCTACGAGGAACTTTAGCGTCTCGTTGTTTCGGTTTGACGTCCCTCAGCTCTGATGTTTGTACATAAAGAAATGAAATAAGTAGCCACAAACAACAACTTAGCAGCTAAAGAGCCTCGTGTTTTATTTAGGATTTGACAGAGACGAAGTGAAATGATTTGGAAATTTAACCTGGAACTCAAAGTCAATCTAACTTTTGTTCTGGAGCATCTTTTATGCCCGGGGTGTCCAATCCTGGTCCTCGAG